TGCTTCTGATATTTATTCAATACACATTTAAAGAGAAAAAATTTTTGAATATTTGCTTGTGAACAGGTAACTATAAACTTATTAATATATATATACTCTGTTTATACAGCTTATCGCAGAACAGCTACTGAGCAAACAGTTTAGAACAGTAAACAGCGAAAAAATAAGTATTAAAAGTATCTTAGCTTTTTATTGTCTTTAAAAAGGTACAAAAACTTTTGTCATTGTATCCCTATTTTAAATAATGCTCTAAAAAAGCTGGCTAATGTATTTTTTTGCTGTTGTCGAAATTTTTTGTGCAGAAATAAGGTGCTTGTTTGAAATGACCACTAAAAATAACCCTGTGATGATCCCTAAGTGGCAACTGTTCAAATGCTGTTTCTATGTTTCTCTGGTTTCTACTGAACTTTGCCACCAGAGATTCTTAGCTCAGTTGTTGTTCTTAAGACTTAAAAAATAGATTTTGTATCTAAGATGCAGAAAAGAAAAATTTGCAATGCCAATAAAGCATCTAAACAAATTACTGCTGTGTATGGAAAAAGGTAAAGCCAAACCACTTAGGTTATATCATTCCAATTGGTAATATAATAATTAAAAATTTTTAGCAGATTAATTTTCAAAAAACTGCATGCTGAATGAGTGGGTTAAATAAATCAAACAAATAAAAAGAAAGCAAATGTGGGCTACTGCATTTAGTTCATAAAAATAACTGAAAATTGCAGAAAAAAAAAGGTTCCATATTTGGTTAGCACAGAAATTCATACTTTTTGGAAATGTTGCATAACACAGCACATCAAATTCACTTTACACTATAACAACAGCCAAAAAAAAAAAAGAAAAAACGCTTTCTCATCGCCTGCGCAAATCTATACCATTAAATAATAAGATTTTTTGGTTTATTGACAACGACTTTTGCTGTAGCAAGACAAAAAGAAAAAAATTGGTAATTATGCAGTGAAACCAAAGCAAGAATCCTCTGAAATGGTTGACGCTTGAAAACGACAATAAACGTTAACACTCGTTAGCTTGAGCAGAAAATTTTTACAATGATTAATGTTATCAAAGTCTAATAATCTAATTAGATGAGTATGTAAAAAAAAGAGCTTGTGACAAAACAACGAGACAAAAAAAAAGCGAAATAATTCATTGAGTAATATAGTTTCTTCTGTATTGCCTAGATGAATATCTAAAAACAAGTTACAGGAGCTTAGGATACGGTTTAGGAAGTAAAATGCTCCGTCGCTGATACGGATTCTTCTTCATGTGTACTCAAGAACACTGTATGACTAAGACAATTTCTTATTCTTTCTTTATAAAAATAATTTTATAAAAGCTATGTGCAAAAAAAAACTAAAAAAATCGCTTTTTTTTTGAAATTGATTTACACATTTATATGTTAACGCAACAAAATAATTAGATTTTCACTGTTTTTTTTTTTCTGCTTACCAACTTTTTTAGCAATTATTTAGTAAGTTTTTGTTCTCTATAATTATATTTATTCTATACGCAATAAAAGATCAGATTATAAAAAAAAAAAA